AGTTTCAGCTTCACGACGAAGTGTCTTGGGTTAGATGACGATCCGGGAGCTACTTTCCAATGCTTTGAGCTCGGTTTCAACTTCACAATGAAGAATATCGTACTCAAGATTCTCTAGTTCGACTCAACCTTACAATGAGGGAGTCATCCGTGATTCAGTCCAAATTAATTATAACATATCAATCATGACATCAAATTTCAACTCTATGATGGAGGATATTCGATAAGATGGGAGTCGATTCCCATAAAAGATGACGTTAAACGATTCGTTCATGGCAGACAAAATTTGTGTCTTTTAATCTTTGCCTTATTTTCATTACACGATAATGGGCAAAGAGGGGCAGTTGTAGACACCTAATTTCATCTGGCGCGATTCAATTTATATTATTATGATCATACTGCTATATAATATATTTATATTACATATTGATTTATGTCATTATAATTATATTATATTATATAATATGGTACATACATTTAAACTATATATTTTTAGTTTTGTACCAGGTCCAATAGTTACAAATAAGTCAGGCCCAAAGCCCAGATACAAGTGGCACCAACAATCCAGAACCCAACTGTAGCCCGGATCCAAGACTTGACCCGACCAACCCAAGTAGGGTTTCGCCCTAGCACCAACAGCCGCCTCAATCTCAGCCTTTGGATCTGGACCCATTCAATGGTCCAAATCACTCTAGGGATTAAGGTTTAAGACCCTAAACTTTCTTTCGTCAGCGCTACATCCCCCTCCTTCGAAGACTCCTCGTCCCAGCCACTTCCAACTGTCGTTTTTCTTGGCACAACAAACACGGCTTCGTTGATTCATGAAGCTCACCAACAAACAACAAACAAGCGAGGATTTCTAGTCCGAGTAAAACTCTAAAAAACAAAACTAAAAATAGAAAATTTTATGATTATAAATAGATGTAAAATACAACACAAGATTACTCATAAAATATGCAAGAAAAAATAGAGAAAAACAGTGAGAAATCAGAAGCAAAGTTTTGTAACTTTCGAACGAAAAGAGAAATAAAAAGTACTTTTTTTTACCTTGCTCGGTGGTCTTTGGATCATGCATGTGGTTTTGTTGTTTTTGTCTATCTTGTTGACCCGAAAAAAAACCCTCGGAAGAGGAGTGCTGATGATCGAAGGGGAGGGGTTCGAAAGATCATTCTCAGATATAGCCCTCCACGAGGCGATTTTTAAAAAATCACTTTGATTTTTGAAACGTGGGTGGAAAGATCTTTCAAAAAACTAAAACTTTATTTTTTTCGCCGCCGATCAACAGCGGTTGACGAGGCAGCGATGGTCGGATTCTGGGTTCCAGATGAACCCAGGCTGTCATGTTCTTCATAAATGAAAAATAGTTTAGAGAATTTTCAGGGGTTGGGTTTTGATCGAAATGAAAGAGGGGGAGAAAATGAAAATATGTTTGTGATTTTGGGTTTTATAGTGACCCACCGACTCGACCCGTGATCTGATCCAATCTGGCAGGATTCGTGTGTTTTTTGTAAAAAAGGGGTCAAATTGTAGTTTCGGTCCCCCGTTGTTTTTTTAAATTCATTTTTACCCTTAAATTCGATTCTAATCTTGATTTACTTTTAAATTGACCACCCAATTTATTTTTCTTTTAATTTAATCATTTTCTAAATTCAATTCGCGTTTTATTTTTTTATTTTATTTTTTTATTTAATACTACATTTTATTATATATATATTGTATTTTTATTTTGTTACCTTTTATTTCTTTTATTTTGTGTTTTTTTATGTTTTTTTATTTAATTTCATTACGTTTTCCTTTATTTTTATTTTTGTTTCGTTTTGTTTTATTTATTTATTTATTTATTTATTTTATCTTGTTTTATTCTTATTTTTACTTTTATTTTATTTATGTTATTCTTTTTCCTTTTTTAATCTTTTAATCTTTTATTATTTTATTGTTTTAATTTTTTAGCTATTTTGTTAGGGTTTTTATATTTTTATTTTACTTCTTTTCTTTATTTTAGTAACTGTTTATATTTAATCTTGCAATTAGTATTTTTATAATTTTTTCTCTTTTTACTTTAATTCAGTGGACCTTTTATTTGTTGTGTACTTTAGATAGGCAATTCGTTTTTATTTTATTTCTTTTAATTCCTCAGCATATATATTTTTTTACTTGATTCGATTCCGTATTTTACTCTAACATTTTTCTTGACTTTTTAAGTGTTCGCTTTTAAATCCATTAAGTAATTTGGATCAAACTCTACCTTTTAGTTTAACTTACAATTCTCTCAATTAAGACAACTGGAAATTAATTAGTACCGAAAGGTCAGTTCAAGGGTGTTAATCCTTCCTTGACTTTAACCGACTCCCGGATCTGACATATTTCTAATAAGACGCAGATCAAGTAAAATAGTGTCCGATTAGCCTAAATAATATATTTGAAATGATCGGTGACGGCTCTAATATTTTTTCAAGTTGAATTATAATTTCGAATCTACCCATGGAGAATAGATGGAAAGGGAAAGTAGTGACTATAAGAAGACATGATGCCATTACTGCCAAAATCTAACTTTTTTTTTTCTGTCAGCTGATGTTAATTAAGAAAGAGAGGTGTGGAAATCTTTCAGCCAAGGGCATGGTGGATCCCACATTGAGCTTTTCAAAAGTTCATATCTTTATCAAAAAACAGTTGAATGCTTTATCATAGCTTTTCCATTAAATAATTTTATTCACTTTCAGTGGAGGGAATGAGAATTATGAGCAGCTACCTTTAGCTTCATTATTAATTTCATTTTAGTAGTACAAAAAAAGGTAAATACTTGGTTATAAAAGTCATTACATCTGATAATAAAAAGTAATAGTTTAATTTGATTTTAAAAATAAATAGAAGGGAAAATTGTCTTTTTTGTGTGGCTAATAGTGGTGTGATAATGATGGATAATCTAATATTAGCATGGATTCCCCAGGTGAGAACAAGAGTAGTACTGAGTCCACATCTTAAGAAGAAAATTACAAAATCCAAGCTTTGTCCATTGTCATCAACTCAAACCAGGCTTGGCGACATTCAATTTAGGCACACAAAGCAGGAATCTTACAAAAGGAGACCCTAGTCATCTTGTCTTGCTGCCAAAACCACCATATTTTTTGGAGTGGAATTATTGTTTCGTTTGTCCTAATGTTATTATTAGGGGAGCTTATCGGCAAGTCGATCGCGAGTTGATCAATACTCGATTTGTGCTCATAAAAGAAATTACTGCTAAAAATAATTTTGTTCGACTCGTACTAGTTAAAAGAACTTATTGCTCGACTCAACACTTTGCTCATTAAGTTCGACATAATATTTTAATTAGTAAATTATTAATTAGACCTTTTTTAAATAGGATATTCTTTAAAGGTAACTACTAAAAATTTACAAAACTATTAATGAATTGTCCGCAAACTTATTGAATCAAGCAAAATCCAACTCGTTAAGGTCTCGAGTCGAGATCGAATTCAAATCGAGTCAACTTGGGTCAAACATTAATCAAATTTTAACCGAATCAAATTCGAATAACTCATAAACTCAAATAACTCATAAACTACTCAACTCATTAAGGGTACATATTTTCCATCTCGTATTATGCAACAACCTACCTTGCTCTTCTCAACACTATACTTCAAAACTTATCCCCTTCGGATAGATGGATTTTGGATATTTTAGAATTATTAGATAGAACATTGTAGGTCTATGGTCAAATCAAATGTTAAGCTAAGCAAGCTCATTGTGGGAGCCTACGGTCAAATGAATTTCATTAAGGATTTATAGCTAGTCAATGTTTGAAACGGTGGAGCAATGAATGCAGACCTACATATATTTCTCATAAAATTCAATAATGACATTCTGATGAGAGATGAAGGACCCCTCAACAATGATGCTGCCCTACATATTATGCTAATCAATGTTCTGATTAATTCCCCAAAGTTTTTTCCCGCCTTCTTTGTTTATATTTTGAACCACATCAGTTTAGCTCTATCTTATGCCTGGTTGATTGCAACTATACATAATAAATCTATCTTATTCTTAAACACAATCATATGTATCTTTGACAAAAACAGGAAAAAATAATGCAAGTATGGCCGTGGGGAATGAGAATATATACTCATTCCCTTGTCTTTTTACCCAAAAGAATAAAAGAAGAATACCATTCTCCTCTTAGTGAAAGTGCAGGGAAAAGCTCAATATGGTCGAGTATTTATTAAAAATTTTGACAAATATAAAAGTTTGACTTTCAAAAATCTTGGTTAAACTTGTAGTTATCATGTTTTTTCTATTAATCTAGAGTGATTACAAGTTAATATGTATCTATTAACCATTTGACAATGAATACTTAAACATTCCTGTAGACGATATATTTAAACATAAGACTTTTTAAGACCTCTAAGAATAACAACCGACCCTCTTAACTTGTAAATACCATGCTTTCTATGAATGTTTTTGGGGGAGAAAAAGTAATCAAACCTTAACTTTTCTCCATCTATGGAAGTTTTGGGGGGAGAAAAAGAACAGAACTGACTAACACTTCTTATTTTATTTTAGTCCAGGAACATGTTTACAGCATATAGTATTTTTCATGCATAAAAAAATGCATTACAGAAACAGAAAGTTTCATTAAAGTCAATCTAAGAGAGAATTGCAACTTCACATTGGTGTCTCGTAGCAAATATGCCATCTATTCTGATATCGTTGCCTCTAGGTGATTTTCTTTTATTATTTAATGAATTTGCTCTGTAGCAGGAAGAGAGGAATAATAAATATCAGTCCATTATAATATAAGCTTAAATTATATATACGATCTGCTTGGAGCTGTGTACCAGTCCTGATTACAAGTTTGCTTTGTTGAGTTGAGCTGTACATTTCTTGGCCTTTCTATTTTACTTTTTATATTAAACAAAACAACTTTAACCACATGGCCTCTGCACCTTCATTAACAAACATGATAAATATCAGTTACTTGTTTTAGTCATTTCTCTCTGTCTCTCTCATTCTGTTCATGTTCCATTGGAGAAATATGTGGGATTATCAATTTGACAAATCATGAGTTCCATGTCGAGTGTTAAACTCCTCCATTTATGGTGGAGAATTGTTGTTGTTGTTCAGTTTGTGGTGGTTCAAGCTTTGGGACTGAACACGGATGGGGTTCTCTTGTTTTCTTTCAAGATCTTCATTCGGGGTGATCCTCTAAACGTGTTACAGAGCTGGAACTCAACCGACCAGACGCCATGTTCGTGGACCGGAGTAACTTGTGGAAGACAAGACAATGGCTACTCTCGTGTTACGGCACTGTCTCTTCGGAATTGTCAGCTTCTTGGTTCGATTCCGTCCGATCTGGGCATGATTCAATACCTTGAAAATCTGGATCTATCCAACAATTCCCTCAATGGGTCTCTTCCTCTTTCCATTTTCAACGCAACACAGCTTCGGTCTCTTGATTTGTCTAACAACTCCATCTCTGGTTTTTTACCGGAAACAATTGGGCGATTACAATATCTCCAGTTCCTTAACCTTTCCGATAATGCATTGGCGGGGGGTTTACCTGCAACTATCACTACTATCCAGAACCTAACCGTTGTTTTTTTGAACAACAATTACTTGTCTGGCAATCTTCCATATGGGTTTCAATCTCTTCAAGTTTTAGATCTTTCTTCAAATCTTATCAATGGTTCCTTGCCTCCCAACTTCGGAGGCCAAAATCTTAGGCGCTTCAACGTTTCTTACAACAGCCTCTCCGGGGAAATTCCTCCACAATTCGCCGAGAAAATCCCCGGTAATGCTACCATTGATCTTTCTTTCAATAACCTCAGAGGAGAAATCCCGGATTCCGTTGTTCTTAAGAATCAAGAATCTAAATCTTTTTCCGGGAATCCTGATCTATGCGGTGGGGCAACCAGACGTGATTGTCCTGTTAATCCTACTTCACCAACTTCTCCGCCGGCAATCGCCGCCATCCCGAGGATGATGGATTCCGACATGCCGGCAGCTAAAAGACAAGGTCAAAGCAAGCTTAAAACAGGAACAATTGTAGGAATTGTTGCGGGAAATACATCCGGAATCGCATTCGTGGTCATGGTTTTCATCTTGGTGTACAAGTTAAAGAAGAAAAAGAGAGTTGAGAGTCGGAGGAAGCAAGAAGCAAACACGGGCAAAGACAATTGGTCTGTAACATCTTCAACGTCGGAATCAAAAGGGTTTTCGAGATGGTCGTGTCTGAAAAAGAGGGGAGAGTACGAGGAAGAATCGGACACCACCACTTCCGACACCGAAGAAGACCAAAGCCAAGACAGTGTACGGCGTCAAGAGCAAGAACATGAGAAGAAAGGGAGACTGGTGACGGTGGACGGGAAAAAGCAGCTAGAGCTGGAGACGCTACTCAAAGCGTCGGCCTACATCTTAGGTGCGACGGGGTCTTGCATAATGTACAAGGCGGTGCTGGAAAATGGGACGTCGTTAGCGGTTCGAAGGATCGACGAGAACAGTGTAGACCGGTTCAGGGATTTCGAGAACCAGGTCCGGGTCATTGCCAAGCTGGTTCACCCGAATTTGGTAAGCATTCGTGGGTTCTACTGGGGAGTCGATGAAAAACTCATTATCTACGATTTTGTACCAAATGGCAGCCTCGCCAACGCTCGTTACAGTAAGTCCCTCATCCTTTTTTAATTTCCTTTATGCTTTTCTATGCATACGTTAACCAAAGTAGCATGGGAATTTGTTAAAGTACACCTTAGAACTGAAATGTTTTTTTTACGGTAGAATAGTTGTTGTTTAATGGCATGGAAATTTGCAAAGTCAACTGTCTGGATCTGGCATGGGTTTTGTGTTTGCCGTTTACCCCACGGCGTTTGACACCCATTTACCTTCCCATTTGCGCGCAACACCTATGAAAACGGCTCATCCTTTTTCTTTATGGTCAAATTATAGTTTTCCTGCCTCTATACTTTGCTCAAATTTAGTATTTAACCATTGTTTCTTTAATTCGACGTAATTTGAGTCCCTTTATTTGTATAATGTCAGTATGATTGCCAACAGCCTTTAACTATTCTAGTTAAAATATTAATGTGGACTTTTTTTTGAAACACTTTTCATTTACATTCTAATTAAGTGTTGATAGAGATAGATTAAAGGAAACGGTTCAATTGGGATAGTCCTCTTAAAATTTTTAAATTATAATATATTTTATATATTTATTGTTTCTATAAAATTTTACAAGTTATTCTAAAATTATAAAACTTTATCCTTAATATAAAATCATGGGTTTGTCCATGAGGTAGATTATTTGGATTGGATAAGGATATTACAATATTAAAGAAATTAAATGACGGTTGAATTACAGGAAAAGCTGGTTCTTCACCTTGTCATCTCGGATGGAAATCTCGGGTAAAGATTGCTAAAGGAGTAGCCCGTGGGCTTGCATATCTCCACGAGAAGAAGCACGTGCATGGGAATTTGAAGCCCAGTAACATTCTGTTAGGTACCGACATGGAACCCAAGATTGGAGATTTCGGGCTGGAAAGGCTGGTAACTGGTGACACCAGTTCTAAAGCAGGGATATCAGCCCGGTTCTTCGGTAGCAAGAGGTCGACTGCATCCAGAGAAAGCTTCCAAGACTTAGCCGGACCTAGCCCCAGTCCGAGCCCCAGTTCACTTGGTGTATCGCCTTACCACGCCCCGGAGTCATTTAGGAGCTTGAAGCCTCACCCCAAATGGGACGTGTTCGCATTTGGGGTGATATTGCTCGAGCTCCTAACGGGGAAGGTCGTGGTGGTCGATGAGTTGGGACAGGGAAATGGGATGGTTGTCGAAGACAAAAACAAGGCCTTGAGGATGGCTGATGCTGCGATCCGCGGCGAGCTGGAAGGCAAAGAGGATGGCTTGTTGGTTTGTTTTAAGTTGGGGTACAATTGTGCATCTCCAATCCCACAAAAGAGACCCACAATGAAAGAAGCTTTACAATTACTTGATAAAATCACATCTTCAACATGCTACTATGGGCACTCAATCATTCAATAAATGGAGACCGCCTTTGTAGAAAGAATATCAGAAATGTATGTATTGATCGACTGTTTTTTCTTTCTCCAAAGATTCTGTTGGCATAACATCAGAAACTAGTTCTTCTTGGCGTGTGACACTGACTAATATTTATTGCCGACTTTTGAACCCAATCCATCCTTGCTTTTTTGGTCTATTACTAGTTTTTTTCTTTCTTCTTTGGACATGCAAAAACATATATTTTGATATCCGGATAACAAAAATGATATTTTGTTCCGAATAATCTAGTGTAAACTACACAAATACTCTCTCGATTATTAAAAGTTACAAAATAATTTCTCGACTATAGAAAGTTGTTTAGTTGAGTTTCCCGACCATCAAAAGTTACAAAATGATCACTCGATTATTTATATGTTCCAAACTCGTCAATTTATATTAAAAAATTGACGGTTATTTGAGTTGCACGTTAACATGCTGATTGGGATGATCAAATCATATTTTAATGATGTCTATTGACACTATCGTTAATTCAAGCAAAGTCTCAACGACATAATATTTCAAGCATTGACTCGGCGGTATAATGTAAACGGAGAGTCGATCAACAAAATACAACTCAAACGATTATGGGGTCAAATTTTATCATATCTCAGTCAACAAGTTAACGTTCAACTCAGACGACTAGGGATGTAAAAAGTTGACTTGCCTATAAAACTAATTGAGACCGACTTGAGTCAGAACTGTTTGTGACCCGAGGTGATGATGATCTGAAATCAATTCTACTCCAAACTGGTGTTAACCTAAACCCAAGTTGAACCTGTAAATTACGACCTACACCCGACCTAAGAACGACCTAAACTCAAATTGAACATGATAATGTGATAACTAAACTCGATCTGCATTTGACCTGATATGAACTCGAACACGAAATTAATTTGGTAAATAACTGATATTACCTGACCTATTATCAACCTGGCATGTTATGGACCTGATATGTAATTGACTCAACTTGTAAGTGATTCGACTTGTTATTAAATTGATATGATATTTATTTGACTTGATATTTACATGACTCTTTAAGTTATAATTAATTAAGTTGTGATTTGTGAGATTATGAATTTATTATATTTTAATGTGACAAAATATATCTCCATAATTTAAGATATATATATGATTAACTATGATAATTAAATTAATATATTTCTTTTTTATATTTATAAATTATAGTATGTAAATATATTTAAAAATGTATTAAATTAATAACTTGAGAATGATAAAGTTAATAAAAATAATTCTTCAAATTTTAAAATTAATTATTAATTATATCATTAAATTAATAAATTTGCTTTTTATATTAATTATGATCATTATATTAGAAAATATTAATTATAATCATTAAAATTATTTTATTCAATAATTTATATATTGATTATTAACTTTATTAGATTACTTTGAAATAATTAATTAATAATTGGGTAAACTACATGGATGGTCACTAAAGTTTGGGTAATTTTTCATTTTCTCTATTAAACTTTCAAAAGTTACAAAATGGTCACTAGCATTATCGATTTATTATAAAATGGTCATTCGATGTTAACAACCGTTGATGAGAGTGATGGAAGGCTGATGTGGCACGTTAACCGACTGATCTGTCACTATTTTTTCCACACAAGATAGTTGACTATCTTTCTCTCCTCTACACAATGAGCGTCTCGCTCTCCCTCTCTACATTGACTATCCCCAAATATTCATTTCTCAAGAAGCCATTTTATTTCCTCAAAATTTAAAAGACCACACTAAACAACTAGATTCAGCTTCTTCCTTCTTTCTTCGTACTTTAGGGGGATTAGTTTTCTTGACTTTCCCACTATTTAGGGGGATTAGTTTCTTCTTGGGCTTGTTTCAGCAACGTAGCTAAATCTTCATTTTTTTGCAGCGTAGAGAGGTCAGTGTCAGCTATATTTTGATTCTTCTTTAGCATACCCACTCAAAAACTTTCCAGGAATGGAGGCTCTGGATACCAATTTGTTATAGCTCGAGAGAAGAGAGAATTAATCGAGATAAAGATAGCAAAAAGAATGAGGAAATTCAGAGGAAATGGAAAGTTCATTCATTCAAGTCATGAGCAAAATGGCGTTACATTCAGGTATTATTTAGTTACAAAGAATTTAAGGATGCCATGTGGTTTCCTCTACTAACTAACTCTATCTTTTCTTCTCTTCTGCAGGTATTGGCTTTCGGATTTGGCTGCTCCAACTCAATCGGGTAAGTTAACTCACCTACCTTTCATGTGCTTCAATTCTCTCCTGCCCTTCACGTACTTCAATTCCCAATTTATTCTCTTCAATCCCTAACCCTTGCTCTTCAATTCCCAATTCTTTCTTGTTTCATCGTCTCTCTTCTTCTCCTATTGTGGCACAAAGACACACAAAAATCAAAATTCAATTTCCCAGTAATAAAAGGAATTGGAAAAAAAGAAATCCCCATAAAGAAAATAGAGAAATACATGTAAAATAAAAGAACAAACCTTGAACAGAACAGGAAGATCAGGCCCCCATTTTTTAAAACCTTGTTACTAAGCACATTCGAATTCTTCCAAATCCAATCTTTTAAACCCAAATTCCCACATTCTCCATTGTCATAAGCCAGAAAACTTGGCCCTGAGTCATGGGTTCCCATTAAAACTCAGCATATGGCCTATCAGGCTTAATCTCAACCCCATAATTGAAAGCCAAAAGCCTCATCACCTGTGCTTCCGTCCCATATCTTCCCCAATCATAATTTTGAATCCAAGCTCTTAACTGCTTTGCCTTGTCGACATTAGACTTCGCCATAGTTGAACAAAACCCCCAGAAACCAAAAAAAGGAAGCTGATTTTGAAGAAAAATAAAAAAAAGAAGAGAAAGGGCTACAAGAAGAAGAATAAGAAGAGAAAAAAGGCCAGCAATAACTAACGGAAGCTAACGGTACGAATCTTATTGAAAACAAACTAAAAGTTCGATGATTGTATTGCAAGTTTCAAAAGTTGGGTGACCAAAATACAAGCACCCTAAAAGTTTGGGGACTATTTATATACTTTACCCTTAATATTAACATAATAATTATAGAACGAAAACAATAATAAAAATAAAATAATAACGATAATAATAATAGTAATAACTAATAATAACTCGGACAAAAATGGGTATCTATACATACACATATTTATATATGTATGATTTTGATGTATGGATGTATATATGATTTACATACATACATGCATACATATAATGCATGCATCATACATACATGCATATATAATACATACATATATTAGACATGTTCTACATGTGGCATACATATATTTTTACATAGTACATGCATCTCATACATACATTCTCATTTATCATGTATCGATATAATTTTATAATACTTTCTAAATAAAAATATTAACTAAGATGTTAAATTTTTGTTCACCAACTTTTAAAATGAGTACAATTTAGTCCAATTTGATATTAATTTAAGTTTCACATTTTATAATTATTTCAATTTGATCCATGTGTTTTATTTATATTATTTAAATTTTAGTTTTTAATTTCATGTTTGTTCGATTTAATTCTTAAAATTATATTATTTATTTGAAGCTTACCCATACTTATTTATATTTTTGTAATTTACTCCAAACTATATAAATCACATCACGAACTTTATTTCATAACCTATAAAGTATATCATAATCTCTAAACTCTATAAACTTTTATTTACCAACTTTTTAAATGGATGCAATTTAGTCCATTTTTATTTTAATTTCAGTTTCGTATTTTACAATTATTTTGATTTGATCACCACATGTTGTTTAATTTATTTAAATTTCAGTTTGTAATTTCACATTTGTCCAATTTATTCTTTAAAATTATATTTTTTTATCTGAAATTAGCACATAATTATTTTTATTTTTTATTTACACTAAACCCTATAAATCACATCATAAACTGCATTTTAAATCCTATAAATTATATCATAAACTCCAAATTCTATAAACTTTTGTTCACCAACTTTTTAAATGGATGCAATTTAGTCCATTTTTATATTGATTTTAGCATCACATTTTACAATTATTTCAATTTGTCCATGCATGTTGTTTAATTTATCTAAATTTTAGTTTGTAATTTCATGTTTGTTCAATTTAGGCCTTAAATTATATTTTTATCGAAATTGACCCATAATTGTTTCCATTTTTCTTAATTTACTCTAAATCCTATACAATTATAAATTATAATTTTGAGGTTCATTAAAGGCGGAAAATAATTCACCCAAAAATGACCTAACATGAAGTCTATTTGTACCCAGTAAGATTCGACCTAAGTTTTATCTGTCAATAAATTGACCCGATCTGATATCCATCCGAACCTGAATTAACATGATGTTTAATTGATTCAAACCCAAACCGTTCTGACTTGAACTGATATTCATCCAAACTGAAATTAACCCGATCCGAATCAAAACTGAAATCTTATTTCAAATTAACCTGGAAATGACTTGAACTGAATTGACCTAGACCTGATCTGATTTGTGTAGAACCATTAAATTGACTTGACATAATCTGTATCTGATTTGACTTGACCTAACATGATTCTACCTAAAACTGAACGATTACTTTATTTCACATCCCTTCAGACGACCATCAATATTTTTACAGAAAATGATAAGTTTGAAATATATGAATAGTCAGATGACAATTTTGTAACTTTTAATAGTCGAAGACTCAATAAAGCAACGTCTTATAGTTAGGAGACTAACTGTGTACTTTACCCAAAAATCTATTTTTTTTTAATTCCAACAAAATATCATACTAGTATTGCATGAGATATAAGAGGGTTTAACAAGTGTAGGTGTATACTTGATGATAGGACCTCTTCTTTCGCCAGGAAAATGGTGTTGGAGACCGATATTCATCACCATGTCTCAATATTACATGAGATATAAGAGGGTTTAACAAGTGTAGGTGTATACTTGATGATAGGACCTCTTCTTTCGCCAGGAAAATGGTGTTGGAGACCGATATTATCACACCCATGTCTCAATATTATATCATTTATCTTATATATATAAATGTTATCATACACTTGTTAGAATCCCAAGGCAAAATCTTAATTAAGTGACTGTTGACATTCAATATGAACATACAATCCAGTAAGGTAATTTTTTTGGGGGGTCACCAGCTTCTTATAAATGTTTGATCTTCTTGTACTGGGATTAACAAATGCATTTTTTATCTGAAAAGGAATTCGAAACCGCAAATGCATAAGGTGAAGTAGAAAGAAAGGTTGCAACAGGGAAGACCCAAGAGATGACGGGAGTGCAGGTGACTCACCAACATCCACAACCTAACCAGAAGACCAGCGGTAGTGTCCTCACTGGTGCCGTTGCGGCCACCGCCTCCGCTTTGGAATCCGCAAAAGTTGCAATATCTCGAAACTAATGGAACAAGTGCTTCCATTAAGATCACCTTACCGACTTGATAATCTCTTACAATTTTCAGTTTTGTTGGAGGGTATTACAATTATATGTTTTTGTATGGTGTAAATTGATTATCGAGCAATACTTGTATATTTGCCTTGTAAGTAACTCAATGTGCTTAAAATTTGTCAAACATACACTGCGTTGCCTCCTTGGTTAGAAATTGGTTACCTCAAAAACATGTTATCTGGAAACAAATATGTGTGCAGCATTGATTCTTTTGTAATGGTAGATTATTATTTCTCTACTTGTATAGCTAATCCTTGGCATTTACTAATTTCCTGTGTATGATTTTATAGCAAAAATACTCCTTTGCTTTTCCAATGTATCAAACAGCCAACCCCATTATTCTCATGACATTATATTACTTATTTCAACTTGGAAAAGGAATTTCAGCCTCCTAGAATTCATTCTGGATAGCAAAACAAAGTTAGATGCCTTTATTCTTCACCATTAGTCTTGTTAATCCTATTCCTTTTTTCCCATCTTTTATTACTTATTCCATGTCTCTCGTTTCTAATTATAGCATCCACTGTCCAGGCATATATTTCCCTCCACAACTTGTTCCTGCAACAAAATTTTCAGGTCTGTGAATTAAGTTTTCCTTCAAACAAGTTACTTTCCCATCTGTCTCATTATTAACTTTCCATTGTGTTCTGCCATTGTAGTTGAAAAATAGTTACAGCCATGGGGATGACATATCTAGGTTAGTGAGGATGCTTTTTGCAAAGAAAGAAATGAGGATATTGATGGTTGGACTCGATGCTGCTGGAAAAACAACGATCCTCTACAAGTTGAAACTTGGAGAGATTGTTACCACCATACCAACAATCGGTATTAACCCCCGATGCTTGTCAACCTAACCGGTATAGATTGAAACTTAATCGTCAAGTTTCAATAGAGTTTTCTTTAGATTTGTTATCCCAATTCAAACCTGTGATTAGATGTTCAAAATAAATGGTTTTGATGTCAAAACATCAGTTTCCAGGTCTCAATTCAAGCATAAAATAGATTTCTAACATTGTGATCCAGGATTTAATGTGGAAACTGTCGAGTACAAAAATGTTAGCTTCACCGTGTGGGATGTTGGAGGAGAAGACAAGGTAATAAATAAGCATATGAATACAATTGACAGCTCTTCCATAATTCTATGTTAGCATGTACATAAGAATTAAAAAGTGATTGTTTCATACTCTCTTTTATAGATTCGACCCCTATGGAGACACTACTTTCAGAACACACAGGGCCTTATTTTTGTGGTGGATAGTAATGACAGAGAAAGAGCAACAGAGGCCAAAGACGAGCTCCACAGGATGCTAAACGAGGTTCGTAATTTCATTTCATTCATCTTGATGAAAATGTCACCCACCAGTTGTTTACTGCCTAATAAGAGTTTCTGTGTTCAAAACATGCTCAACTGATTGTGGTAGTGCTACTTTCTCTTTCCAGGATGAACTAAGCAACGCAACCTTACTTGTGTTTGCTAACAAGCAAGATCTTCCAAATGCCATGACTGTTTCCGAAATCACCGATAAACTTGGTCTGCACTCACTTCGCCAACGACGCTGGTAAATTCTGTGTTAAATACTATACTAATCACCTACTAGCAGAGCCAAAATTTGCTCATTCAACCTTCAAACTATGAATAAAAACTAGAAGCTGATACAGGTACATCCAAGCTACCTGTGCCACCTCTGGCCAAGTACTTTATGAAGGTCTTGATTGGCTATCCAGCAATATCTCTAGCAAGGCAGGACATTATGCCTGGCGGATAGATGACAGAGGAAGTTGGTGCAGGGGCAAACAATACTGTGCCCATTTTATTTTAATAACAAATTAGTACGAAATAATTATTATAAAGGTACGAAACAGGTGAAAAAGAATGATGGTGCTAAAACAAGGTTGGTTCTTCCTTGCTTTGATTCGGCCATTCAACGAATAAGTAGAACTTTGAAGTGCTTGAATAAATGATCGAGTTCCTGGAAGACACCGATGGAATCCAAATAAGGTAAAAAGAATGGAAAAAAAATCTTATCTTATTTATTTTTAATAATTTAGAGAGATTATAAGATAGTATTTGTTTAATATTTTTTTAATCATTAAAAAAATACACAGTGACTGGACTTGATGATAGAGTTTGAGAGAGCCAAATTAAAACTTTAAAAAATTTAGATGTTTAAATTAAAATTTTAATTTTTTGAAGGATTTGTTTAAATTTTTCTTAAAAAATTAGGATTTAACTGGTGGAATTTACGAGATAATGTTGTGAGAAAAAAAAATTCACGAGATAACGCGTTCCAACAATTAATTGTTGAGATATGGTGTTTGCTACAGTTCGAATGAAGGTCGCCGGTGGTGGGCGACCAATGAATGAAGGTTGCCGAGTGTTCTGGGTGACCAATGAAGGTCGCCAGGTGATCCATGAGAGAAACAATTAAACAATAATTGTTTGGGTTAAATACAAATTTGGTCCTCATAACTTTGCACTCTCATACATGTATTTATTTTAGTCACAAACAATTATAATTTAGTCATACATGTTTCTTGTTTATCCTATTTTAGTATGTATTTATTTTAAAATTGATTATTGGGATATCTTGTTTTGTATTTAGTATGTATTTATTTTAATATTGATTATTGGGATATGTTTTGTATTCAATAATTTTTATTTGTTCTATTTATTATTTCGAGTATTTCATTATTTTTTAGTTTATTTAGTTTATTTTATATTGGAAAAATTTGCGAGATAATATCGTTGGTAGGGAGAAATAAATACATACTAAAATAGGATAAACAAGAAACATGTAAGAAACATCTATGACTAAATTATAATTAAACATAAATACTAAACAGTGGCTAAAATAACATGTTTACAAATTTCATGGCCAATTTCGAGAATTAAGGAAAATATATAAAACACATGAAATCAGTGATTAAAATGAAATAACTAAAAATATTATGATCAAAATGAAGCATACACAAACTTGACAGAATAAACAACTAGTGACTAAAATATAATTATTAAAATATACATGCCTGAAACAAAACATTAAAAATGTCACTAAATGATTAAACAAATAGATTACAAAGCATAGGGGACCGAAAATGCTATTATCCCCTAAATATTAAAACACATATGAGAGTCTAAAGTTGTGAGGACCAAATTTGCATTTAACCCAAACAATTATTGTTTGATTGTTTCTCCCATGGATCACTGGCGACCTTCATTGGTCGCCCAGACACCCGGCGACCTTCATTCGAACTGTAGCAAACACCCTATCTCAACAATTAATTGTTGGAACGCGTTATCTCGTGAATTTTTTTTTCTCACAACATTATCTCGTAAATTCAGCCGATTTAACTAGAATTTATAAATTTTTGAGAGACTTAATGAGAAATTTTAAAAATTATGAGGGATTTAATTAAGAGCATTCAAAGTTCAAATGAATTTTTAAAAATTTTGAGGAAAGATATTTTTTTTTTAATTTTAAGGGTCTAAATTATAATTTTTAATTTCAAGGGTTATAATCCCTACCGGTTGCTCTTGTGTTTTGAAAATACATATACACTTACAGACGTAATTCTTGAACTTAATTTTTAAAAAAAATCATTTTCTTTTAACCACTTTGATAGATTTAATTTTACCTAAATTTATGCTTTTGATGTGAATTCTTAAGTAATGATTCCATTGTTGAGTTAGTAAATAGGAATAGTAGCTTCGACTAAGGAACAAAATCCTCAATTCCTTCTTAGTATTTTTATGCGTGTCCCTCCAAAAACAATAAAAATGTATTATTTAAAATAATTAATACTAATTTTTTTTTCATTCTATCCTTTTTTGCCTAAACCTTTCTCCTTCAATTTAAATTTAGTATAAGTGATTTTTTTCTTCAAATTTTACCTTTTTTTAAATGAAAAATTAAACAATGGATAGAAATTTTGTTGATTGTAATAACTTTTGTGTTCTTTTGTAGAACTTGTGTGATGATAATGAATTTTGCAGACTTTGACAAATTTAAGCGGACTGCTTGACTTATCTACTTCCCCTGATTGATGTTGCAGAAACTTTTTTTTAAGTGGTTTGATTTTATATTTATCGACTTATGAAGCAGTAATAATAAGGGTAAACTACATAAATGACCATCTAACTATTGGTCTCGAAATGACACTCATTTTCAAATTTATGTCAATATGACCATTGTACTACTTAAATGGTTTCAATATAGCCACATGTCGTAAACATTTAACGGAAATGTTTATGTGGTATTAAAAAAATTGGTATAATTAGAACATGAGTCCTTGTAAAGTTACGTATTCACGACATTGGCATCCTATTTTGTTTTCTTCCATTTTGGTCACTACTTGTTTATGTTTTGTTTCCTTAAATTTACATTTAATGCAATTTGATCTTGATTATGTTTTTAATTTGTCTAATGCCTTACTTTGTGCATTAACTTTAAAATCTTTTATTCTAGTTATCGTAACCGATTTCCGGCGATACGACGTGTCTCGACTCATTTTGTGAAAACTCGATTTTGTAAAAGAATTGTTTCGGAGTCACCATCGACCTTTTGGATTAGGTAAGTCGAATACCTAAAAAATTTCTTTTAAAAAGAGTTTTTAAGAAAAACGTCATTTTAAAAGATACACCGATCCACTTGTAACCAGAAATTCATTTTTTAGTATGAAAAAGGGTTTGGGGGTCGATTACGTGTGGGGAAGGATAAGCACCCCCACAACGCCCAAAATTGGTACCCATCGATTATATATTGTCTCTAAATAGTAGAAATCTAAGAGTTCGAATACATATTTAAATTACGATTCCATTATTCCGAATTAAACCATACAAAAATTCTAAAGAAAAATATAAAATATTCTCTTATTTCCAATTGAAGAGAAAATACTCCTTAAAATACTTTAGGACGAATATTTCTCTTTCCATTTGAAATAAAAGTAATATAATAATTTTTCCTAAGAATTCAATATTAAAATAATTTTTATTCAACCAAAGAAAGAAATTAAATTCATTAATCCGAATTATATTATTAGAAAAGATAAGTGATATTCAATAATTTAAAAATGCCGAGACTTAATCTCTAATAAAATTAGCAAATTGTCTCGATAAGTTTAAAATAGTGAATATTTCTTCTCTTCAAAATTAATTAATTTCAATGCAATCAATTTTTTAGGTTTCTATAGTGGGAATATTTATTTATTTTAAAATATCGGAAAAGGACATCTAGTTGTCTTAAGACTGTCCCTTCTTAATATATTAAAATAAATAAATACTACCCTTAATCCAATTATATAATCGGTTAAGTTATGCTAATGAGGCTTTTAAACAGAATAAAATATGATACATGAAGCACTTAGAGAAAAAAATAAACACATGGATTAAAAGAACTATTTTAAATTTATTTTTAACTTTATATTGCTTTATAAATATATACATATTTTCTAAATATTATATTAAACATAGAACATGATATTTATTCTAAAATATAATAAAAATATAAAATAAAATATTTCTATCATGATATAATATTATATACAAAGTAATATATAATAATAATACAAACAAAATAAATATATAAAACATAAAACATACTTTAATGGTAAAATAAATAATATACATATGAATCTACTTACTATATGGTGACAAAAAAAATATATAATAATCTTAGGATATTAAACATTAATAAACAAAAATCATGGCATGAAACAAGAACATAACCAAAACAGAAGCACTATAATCATAATAAAACCTTAACTATAGGACTAAAATGGAATATCATAAATATCAGCACCAAATTTTGAACAAAAAAAAACATACAACAGAGAACTAAATTAAAATAATACAAAACCATGCATCTAATTTGTAAATCTTAGAAAATAAAAGGAAATGGTGACTAAATCACAAAACACGCTAAAATATAAGGGACCTACGGCGTGATTTACCCTAAAAAGTTACTAAATCACGAATCACATTAAATGTAAATGACCAGTAAGGTAGTTTAACCTAAAACTAGTGGCCAAATAAAACATGCTAACGTGGTTTACCCAAAAATATTAAGATATCAATTCTTCTTCCCCTTTCCAGAATCATTTTTGCCATGAATTTGTAAACCCAAATATCCTCTCTTTTCTTCCTCTTCTCTCAACCTATTCGACCACTACCCAACCATAAACAACCGCTATAAACGGTGGTTCTTCTACCCTAACCAAAAACCGACGACACACTCCCCTCTCTGATGACAACATACTCCGACTAATACCAGCAACAAGGTAAATCTCAACCATTATATCTATTTTATTTATGTTTTTTTAACACAGAACTATGAACGAACCAAGAAAAAAACATTAGCATAAGAATACCTTCACACCTTTGATTGCTAAAAAATCTAGTTGTATTGCTTTGATATTTTTTTCTATTTTTCGGTCTGAATAACCGAGAGCCCCCTGCTCTTGTTACATGGTTTGGTTCTTATAACCAATTTACATAGGTTTAGAAAACAAAATAAAAATAATCCTAGGTCTACTATGGATCTACTGTTGTTGATGATGGCGTGCCTTTAATGCCCCAGATATTATGGGGTTTTGTTGATTACTTTGACAGGCTTGGCCGGCTGTGGGAGAAGACTTGGGAAATGGCGGTGGTGGCTGAATCATATCCCTAGGGTATAGTTAGGTTAGGGTTCTATACCGTGTTTGGGGGTTATAGGATTTAGGGGTATAAAAATGGTGTTTACAACTGCCTCTCTTTGCTCATTGTTATGAAACGGGAATGAAGCAAAGATATAAAATCATCATTTTTCATATTGGTCTCTTCTTGTCACATTGCCATCTCTTCACTGCCAATGTAAATTCTTCTCTTTCCGTGATAGTTGACCCAATAGTGATGATCCATCTCCTTATGTGATGGATTTAGATGAAAATGTTTGATCCATCTCATTCTGTGATGAACGAAATGTTGGTGTTGTTCCAACTCCGTATGCGATGGAAACAAGTTAAGGTTGAACAAGTTCTTCTCATTATGAACTTCTTCTCCCTCATCGGATGAGTTCTTCTCATTATGAACTCTCTAATGAAAATGTTTAGCCCTCGAGTGAGGTGTTGCTGATTCAACTCCATATGCAATTAATCGAGCTAAGGTTGAACAAGTTCTTCTCATTATGAACTTCTTCTCCTTTTGTTGGATGAGTTCTTCTCATTATGAACTCTTATGGAAATGTTGATTCACCTCCTTCTGGGGTGAATTTGAAAGGAGAAAGTTCTTCTCATTACGAACTTTCTTCTTTAGGACGAGTTCTTCTCATTATGAACTCTTCTGGAAATGTTGATTCACCTCCTTCTGGGTTGAATTTGAAAGTAACAGGCTCTTCTCATTACGAACCTTCTCCTTTAGGACGAGTTCTTCTCATTATGAACTCTTATGGAAATGTTGATCGGTTTATCCTCTCTTTGAAGAGTTTTAATCCTGCTAAAAAAATATCTTGTGTCAGTGATTTGTATTTAAAGTACCCGAAGGTAATGACCCCATGGTCTTTAATTTTGTTGAGATCCATTTCTTTCGATGGTGACAAATATAGAATGATTCTATGCTGAAGTCGAGAAATGAAATCTTTGTTGACTCTTTGAATTCCTTAATATTGCAAATTCCTGAGTTTTTGTCTTTGTTGGGTCCATCTTGGAAAGGACAATGCTCATTCTCATTGAAGTGGCCTAGAAAAGTCAAGTTGGAAGAAAGACATTATTGAAAATGCTTCTAGGGAAAAACCTTAAGAATGACTCATGCGACATCCTATAAAAACGGTCATAAGAAGGACTCAAACAATTCTCTAAAAAAATGATCCTAAAAAGGATAAAATAATTTTTCAAAATAGACTTTACAGATATCCTCATGAGAGGAAAATCAAAATTTGTCATGTGTATGAAATGTATGATGTGAAGATGCAAATTCATGTATGAATGCAGGTTTTCTTAATCTGTTGGAAATGGTTGCAAGAACAGTCTTCATTGCTAGATCAGTCTTCATTCTTTTCCTGGTTTGATTTTCTTCTTTATCAGCCGCACCTGAGTGTATTCTTTAAATCTTGACTTGTGAATGGGCGCATCTTGCCCCAGTAAAAAAAATTCTTTTGATAAATTTAGCTTCTTCAAAAAAGATTCATTTACAGTTATCAAGAAACCCCTAAAATTAAGCTTAGATTCCTTTAAAAATTATTTGGAGATAATCATCAATAAACCCCTAAAAATCAGGCTTAGTTTCTAAAAACTCATTTGAAAACATCCCGCCCGAAGGTCTTATGGATAGCCCGAAGGACTTATCATCTTGCTCGAAAGACTTATAGATGACCTGAAGAATTTAAGCATCATGCTCGAAAGACTTACTCATGGCCCGAAGGACTTATTCATCATGCTCGAAAGACTTACTGATGGCCCGAAGGACTTATGATGATTCGAAGTGTTGTGAATCGAGCAATAGGAAATGTTGAAAACATCCTGCCCGAAGGTCTTATGGATGGCCCGAAGGACTTATTTATCAAGAAACCCTTAAAAATCAAGCTTAGTGTCTTAGTTGTTAAGGAACCCCTAAGAATTAGGCTTAGTTTCCTTTTAAAAATTCAATGAAAATCATCATCAAGAAACCCCTGGAAATCAGGCTTAGTTTCTAAAACTCATTTGAAAATATCAAGAAATTCCTAAAAATTAGGCTTAATTTCTTTGAAATTCATTTAAAAACATTAAGAAACCCCTAAAATTAGGTTTAGCTTCTTTCAAGTTCATTTGAAAACACCGAGAAACCCCTAAAAACCAGGCTTAGTTTCTAAAAGTTTTCTTTTTTTCGGAAAGAAACTATCTCCAGCGAGATAAAATCTTCTATTTTGAGGGAAACTATCTCAAGCGAGATAAATTTTGGTTTTAAGAAAAACAATTTTGAGTGAAATGAATATTCTTGTTTTGAGTAAAATGTCTTAAGCGAGACAAAATATGTTTTAAGAAAAATAATCTGTAATGAAACGAAATGTCTTGTTGTGAGAAAACAAATGTCTCAAGCGAGACAAAGTCTGTTTTAAGGGAAACTATTTCAAGGAAGACAAAATTTGTTTCAAGAGAAACTGTCTCAAGGGAAACAAAATTTTGTTTCAAGGGAAACATATTCAAAGATTTTGTTTCAAGAGAAATTGTCTCAAGGGAGACAAAATTTGTTCTTTGGAAAACTATCTCATGTGAGATCAATTTTGTTTTAAATATTCCAAAATTTTGGGAGAATGTCTCAAGCGAGATGATGCTTGTTTTGAGAGAGAAATACTCAAGTGAAACAAAATTTGTTTTAAGAGAAAAATGTCTCAAGCGAGACAAAATTTGTTTTTAAGAAAAACAACTTGGAAATTATTATTTCGAAGAAATATGTCTCAAGTGAAACAAAATTTGTTTTAAGGGAAAAATGTCTCAAGTGAGACAAAATTTGTTTTTAAGAAAAACAACTTTGAAATTTGTATTCCGAAGGAAAATGTCTCAAGTGAAACAAAATTTGTTTTAAGAGAAAAATGTCTCAAGTGAGATGACATTTTGTTTCGAGAGAAACAACACCTAAGGAGGCAGAGAGTCTGCTTGTTCCTGCCCATTGAGGATATGTCTTCAGAAGATCTAATTGTTGACTTCAGGAAGTTAAAGCTGTGGATGACATTGTTCTTTCAGGTTGAAAACATCTGGTCATTTCCGAGCTTTTATTTCCTGAAATATCGAAATGATGTATTTATGACTACCTATCTTGTATGTTTATGGGTGTCATGATGAAGTTTGTATTTTATGTGTTTGATGAATTATCGAATTTTTCCTCGAGAGAGGGAAAAATGTCTTTAATGTACATGATGATGAATGTTTGATGCAAAGGTGCAAATTTCATGTGTCATGTATGTATGTGTTGATGTATGTATGTTTTCTCAGTGGGAAGTAGAATGGTTGCGAGAGAAATCTTCATTTTATCCATGGCTCAATTAGTCTTTATTTCCACCAGGGTGTACTCTTGCAAACCTCGACCTAAGACAATTTATTTTCCTTACCCCATCAAAATTTTCCCAAAAAATGGCTTTCCCTTGCCCCAGCTTCGATCTTGAACTTCGGAGGGATATTTGTTGAATTCCAATATATGCTTCCAGAGAGATTATCTTGTTTGAAAATGTTTTTCTTCCTTTGAATTTTCAAAATTTTAAAAAATATTGAAAAGAATTTTTTTTTAAATATTGTCTTTTATGTTTCAAAATTGCAACAAATCATAAAAATAAAGTTCATTGAATATCAAAAGAATCATCTGCTCATTAATCTTTGATAGTTACAAATCTTTGACAAATTTCAGGATCAAAAGGTTGGTTTTGAGGTTGGCTACCTAAATTTAAGGTTTGTTTCCTCGATTCGTCCTTTTTTCTTTTCTTGGTCCTCAGGGAAAATTAGGACATGCCCCTCTTTCTTGGTTTGACATTTTGATCGGAGGTGGACAAAATGACGCAACTAACATTGTCAATTGCTAGACTCTTTAAAACACTTTTGTTTCAATTCTCTAAAATCTTCCATTTGTTCAAGCTTTGTAGACTCTTCTAGCAAAGGTAGTGCAGAAATATGGTTGCTAGACTCTTTAAAACACTTTTGTTTCAATTCTCTGAAATCTTCCATTTGTTCAAGCTTTGTAGACTCTTCTAGCAAAGGTAGTGCAGAAATATTGGTCTAAAAATGAGATTATTGAGTGCTCGTGTGAGTTCGACTATAACAGGTGTTCCTCAACTCCCTTAGTCCATATTTACTGGAACTCCTTATTTAGTAAATTTGATTTAATTTGCCATAGTTGGGCTAGCTGAATTCAGCTTTATTGTATTTATATATTATAATTGCCTTGGTTTGGCTAGCTGAAGAATTCATGTCGCCATAAAGTCGTTGACCTGAAAATCATAGTGGAGCAAACACTGAATTGCCAAGTACCCGATCAATATCATGGTTTGAATGTAATCTATTCATAAAGCCAGGGCTTTCGAGTTCCCTCTATAACCAATTGCTTTAGAGGAATAGCTCAGCTTTATTGTATACATATATATATTTTGGGTATACGGATTTCATTTCTTAAGCTTGTCAAGGAGAATCTGTTATAGTCCCGGTGTTTGTTATAGGTCAGAAAAATCTCATCGTTAGAGTTCAATTTCCAACCAACTGACCTAAACTAGATTCAACTACTCGACCATTCCATCTGTGAAGATCATGATCATCATTGAACATCATGATCATCATTGAACATCATTAACAGAAGTAGGAACCAATTAGCTTAGCAATCTCATGTGCAAGTTGCCCCATTTTGTCAGCTCCTAACACATACCTGAATGCCAAAACCTTGATTGACTCTACATGTAAAGAGAAAACTAGATCGGTCCCTTCAAGATAAGGGTATGAATTGTGGTGTATTTCTGAAGTAGGATCAAGGGATCCTTGTTTTGCAGGGGTTCGAACTTGTCATTTACCAAAGATTTACAATCTCAATTATTAAAGATTTTTTTAATTAACTTGATATTCAAAGATTTTCAAAATTGTCAGTTTGATTCAATACTCACAATCCTTAAAATAACATAAGTTCATTCAAATATCCTTACAAGAAAGCTGGGAAAAGACAAAAAACAA